ATGTGGAACTACAGGGTGGTCCGAAAGTTTTGTCACTCTCTACATAATACAATTTTTTATTTCAGATGGCTAACACTAGTTCTTATAGTTTGGAAGAGAGGTAGGAGGTGATAAGACTTTTGGACCACCCTGTACTTTGAATTCAGTACTTGCCACTGCAACTCATTTACATAATTGTTTATTTTATATATTTTTATGAACAGATTTATATGCATCAATGTATATTTGCTATTGTGTATGTGTGTATCTCAGTTTGTATGTATGCTAATTTATAATATGTATTTTTGTATATATTTATTTCTAGTTGATTTCATTACATTCATTGACATAGAAATCCATTTTTTTTTTTTCCCACCAGTTATGGATTAAATAAGTAGAACAGACTGGCCTCTTTAGCCTTGGTTGGCTGCTAGTCTAGAAGATGTTTATTTCCCAAAAGGAGTGGGAATGATTTCAAAAGTTTCCCCATCTTATAGTCAGGATGCAAAATACATGCTGGGATATTTTTCTGCCAATTCAGGCAGTTCGCTGCCAGGCTCATGCATAGCCACATCTAGGTTCCTTTCAGCTCAAAGTCAATGCTGAAGGGCAATCAATAGACAATCCTGACTCTGTGTATGTGTGGTCTATGGGGAATTTTTGGCCAAGCTTATAGGCTTGGAATCAGCCCACATAAAAAACGGCCTTGTGCCACAGCTTGCCTTGTTGGGAAGCTGAGGTAATAACAAATCTGCCTTAAATACCAGAGAGACCTACAACATTTGCTTGTCCAACTTTGCTTTTGTGTACACATGCTAACACATACCATCCTGAGTATGTTGATAAACTACATCCACATCCTGAGTAAGATGATAAACTTCATCCGACAGCAAGGCCTCTGATCAGAAGTTTTTGAGGAGTGTGGAATCACCTCTTAATTTCTGGTGGTCCCAGGTCCACCTTGACCCAGGGTGGTAGCACCTGTTAGGGTCCCAGCTATGGGCAAATAGTTAACCCCCAAACTGGGGTCAAAAGACTGAAAGTGTAAAAATAGGTTTTAATACCAGCAATACATTTTTGTAAAAAATTATTATCAGCAATACATTATTCAGGAAAAAATATTAGCAGCAATACATTTTTGGAAAAAAGAAAAAAAAAATATTAGCAGCAATAAAAAAAAATCTTGTTGGCATTAAATAAACCCATTGAGATTGATATGCCATAAAACAGACCAAACAAACTTATAGTTTGGGAATTCTTTTGCTTTCTTAACTGTTTGATTTACTTGAATGACATTGCTTGCTTGCTTGCTGTTTCATCCTTTTTGACCTTTTTTTTTCTTTTCATTGCAAACTTTATTAAACTTCATTAATTCTGTTCATGTTATTTATCTTGCATTTTGACAATGGCTTTTAACTGATCTAGGAGAAGGACAACTCTGAATTCAAAACCAATTTAATAAATGTCTAGCAACTCCAACCCATAATCCTACTTGTGACAGAAACTGCAATAACAAGGCCTAGTGTGTTGAGGCTGTGGCCTCATGATTTACAGAGGAGTTTATAGGTTTTGAGTATTTAATATAAATGTTTTTTTTGTTTTTTTTAATAACTTCTAGTGAGAAGGTTGAAGTTATCTAGGCTTATTTGATCTGCCAACCCCATTAGGCAAAAATATGAACAAAACAAGCAAGGTTGGGGGATCTACTTAGTTGTGAAGGGTTTAATACATTATCCACTGGTTCAAACCTCACCATGGCCATCTACCTATTCTGAGCCAATTTTCACTTATTGCAACCAATTTTAATTCATTTTTAAAAAAATTTTATTTTTTACTCTACATTCAGATTTAATTAATTTAATTAACAATTTTTGCTTTAATTTTCTTCTGTCTCCCCATCCAAAAATAGGATTTGACATCACTTAATTCCCTGGCTGTCTTAATCCTCCTTTGGGGAAGAGGTTACTTCAACAAGTGTGTCTGTGGTGGTGGTGGTGTGTGTGTGTGTGGGGGGGCTATTTTTAAATAGTCACAATACCTTGTGATATTAATGTCAAATAGACACCTCAGTTTAAATGGATAATAGTAACCAAACATTTCTATATAGATTAAATTTGAAATGTATACAATATTGAAAAATATGTTCCAGAATTCTGTCAATCTGTCCAAATTGAGTCATATAAGACCCATATAAATATATAGAGTATTGTTACAGAAAAAAATACAGGAAATATATTATTTCTTAAGATAATTGATTTATCTGTTCAATGATGTGATAAATAGGTTAATTGGTAAATGGTGTTTGAACACACTGCATTTAGAATGGAAAGGTGACCTTCATTGTTTAATGTACATTTTGTAAAATTTTCTCATGCTTGGCTTGTAAAGGACACTTGAAAATATTTACAACTCCATTTTGTGGCCTATCCTACTGCAAGAACCTATAAAACAGATATTTTTAGTTATATATTTAACCCTAGAACACATCAATTAAAGTTACACCACTACTAATCATGGGTATATCATACCTGATTTTGAAAATATTAAATATAAATCTTTATTTGAAATATTTTACATGCAGGCACTTCAAACTTTGTACTTTGAGTTAACATTAATAGGAACTGAAAAACATATTATTTACATAAGAAAATCAGGTACTGAAAATTGTAATTAAAAATAGGAAAATTCGCGCTGGGTACTATATACCCATGGTTAGTGCCTAGGGTTAAAAAAAAAAATACCCATGAATACAATTTTGATCAATAAAAAAAAAAAAAAAACATTGGTTACTATTAGGATTCCTAGAATATCATTGTCTCTGCTAATCTCTTTGGGGATTACTTTTTTGTTGTTGTCATTGGAATTGTGCAATTGCTTTATAAAATAAATCAACCATTTAATGTTTATTTACTTTTTCTCAAATCGGGTACAAAATCTGATAGCTTTACAGTGGTCTAAATTGGTAATTTTATGTACGACACACAAATAACATTTTGGATAAATTTGATAGTTTTTTTCTTTTTTAACATCTATGTAAATAGAGCAATGGATATATTAGATAGGAAGACAAGTATGGGTCAAATCATTGAATTACCTGCATGTATCATTTTATTTTACTTTATGTATTTATTTATGTTTAAATAAATAAATACATACAATATAATTGGACAATGGAATGGGAACAGTCTATCCTCATAGATTAAATAAATTGTTCAGCTTGGAATTCTCTGTCAATTACCTGGATTCATATGCACCTGGTGAAGGCATAATAGCCAAAACATTATGATAACAACAAAGATGAGGACAATAGTCCAAATGTAAATAACTCCTCATCCCATAAATTCAGACAGTTTTTTTTTTTTTTTTTTTTTTGTAATATTCAGATGTTGAAATTTATATGGAAGGCTTGAATCCTGTAGCTTTCACATCTCCTGATTTAGGATACTAATAACAAAAGAATTTTAACTAGTGTTTTGTTTCAATGGTCTTGTCTGCAGTAAAAATTAAAAATGGCAATAGTAACAGTTGTAAAATTACATTTTGTTTTGACAAGGAGGGAAGATTCTTGTTAGTAACTATTTGTTTTCCATCTTGTATACACTTTATTTTTCTTCTTGAGAGCATGCTGCTGATGTTATTGACAAAAAGATACAGGCCAAAACTTTACATTATCATTCAACAAGGAATCTAATATGACATTCTAAATGTACAATGACATTTCAGTAGCACTCAAGAATAATTATTTCATTGTTTTAATCTCAATTATGTTGTCATGTTGTTACTTGTCTTAATTTTCTGTTGCATGTCAGCCATTTTTCCCCCTAGCCTGATTTAGATAAAAAGGACCCCCCCTCCTCAAAAAAGGGGTTGGTAAATACAATGATCTTTGAAGCTGTTATGTGTAAAAATTCACAGCATTTTCTTTTTTTCTTTTTTTTTTTTCCTTTTTTTTTTCTTCCTTTTTTTTTCTTTTTTTTTTCTTTTTTTTTTTTTTTTTTTTTTTTTTTTTTTTTAACTAAAAACTTGAAAATTTGTTTTTTGGCTGGAATCTTTTGCGTGTACCTCTTATTTTAGCAAGTACATTTAACGAGTTAGATGCTTAGAGAATGTAATAGTTATAAGCAAGCTGAGTTCAAATTCCAGCTGATACTATTTCATCCACTTTATGTTCATGCCTTTGGAAAAGGTATGAATCCACCTTCCTCCTGCTATGGGTTAAATAGGAAGGCAGACTGGGCTCTCCTGCTTTGAAGTGACAACCCATCTGGGAGAAGGAAAACTGAATTAAAAAAACCAAGATGACATGGATTATCCTAGACATACCACTGCTGCTGCCATGGTTTCAGTACATGTGGTGACCCTAATGGGCTACAGGACTCTTGATAGAAATTAACAAGTGTGATCATTAGATTTATTTTTAAATTTTCATTTTGAAAAGGGATAAGTCTGCTTCAACACAGATGTGATGTAAAATAAACTCTGAAATAACAAAACTAATCTTTTGTTTTAATCTTTTCACCTCAAGCAAGGCAATAAAGTTACTAAGACACAAGGGGTTACTGAATGTGAAAGATGTTATTGAGGAGAAAGGACAATTAAAAAAAGGAGGGGGGGTTTCGAAAATATAAAATTGAATTTTTGAAGATCAAAGTTGACAGGAAAGCAAGAAACTGAGACTTCCACAGGTGAGAAGTGCGAGAGAAGAAACTATTAGAATGTATCGTTAAATTTAGCAATTTCAATAGTAAAATGATGACTACTAGTACTTTGCTTAAATTCATGAAATCTAGGTACCAAAGAGAAAAGCTCATCAGAACAATTACCATGAAAATATTTATAGAAAACGTTACAGCAGTGGGAAAGTGATTGAAGCTGAGGTACCTAGTCAGGACTAATAATTCTTCTTTGGGTTTTATCAAGAATCTCTAGATACATAGAAATTTTTATCTGAAAATATTTTTCAAGAATGTTTGGTTGTTTTATCTTGATTTTGTAAAATTTTTCTCTTTTTGTTTCTGTAGAGGTCAGGAGAGTGCAGGAATTGTAACCAGTTATGGCAGGGAAATGGAATTTGTCCAAAAGAAAGGTATGGGTTTGGTGAACACAATCTTCACAGAACAAGATATGTTACGGATGCGTGGAAATTTGGGAATAGGTAAGTTTAAGAATTTAGAAAACTCTTTTTCAGTTTTCTAGCTACCAAAGATTAAAACTGGTGACAAATCAATTATTATTTACAGAATTTATACTATAGACAGATACAAGAATCAACACAGCACAGTATCTGTCAGTTTCATGCCTTTAGCAATCTTCAGACCATGATTGTTGAAAATTGAAACTTGTCTCAAGTTTAAGTGAAAATGACAGTCACCATGCAGTGCTGATTCCTGTGTCCACATTGCTTATATTTATAATCATTCAATCTCTAATATTGAGTACTCTTCCTCCATAAGTAGAGCAAATTTTAAACAAATATAGAATTTATATTATTTGCAAGTGAATAAGGAGTGATTACAATGGAATTAATTAAAACTTCGACTATGTTTAAAGTTAGCTTTACTTGTATTTCTGCTAATCCCTAATCTGTTGCAGCTTTGTATGAAATGATTTTTTAAACTTCATGCTTACAATTTAAAATAATTTTTTTTAATTGCAGAAATTTTCATGATGGAATAAAAACAATTTTTGCATAAATTGATACCCTTAAAATAATTGTTATATAGGAATAAAGTGTCACTGATCATAGATCACCAGATAGTAAACACAGGTGATTCCATTATTGAAGTAGACCATGTGACAATAGAAGAAACGCATAAGTAGAAAGTAGTGTGATGTCTAAATGATTGCTATTCTCATCTATCTTCTCTACTATACGGATCTGTCTTTCTAGTCTATCCTCTATTACTATACGGACTGCTATTTTCTACTCTATTCACTATACAAATTACTATTCGGTGGTTACTTGTCAAACAAGTACTATTAGTGCAAGTGATATTCTAAGGTGTCTGACACCAGTATTGTTCAACAGTATACTATAGTTGTATCTGCAATTACAAAATCTCTACTACAACGAGCATTACGAAAGTGTCAACGAGTATTCGTTGGCATTACAAAATTGACAACAAGTGTTGACATCACAAAAATAATGATACTTTATTTGGTAAGAAATTTATTTTCTATCTAAAGATCTTCTTTGCATTACTGCAGGTGTCCCCCTAGGGCGCTATTCTTGGATCTATATCCCAATTTTCATTAACGACTTTCTTGATGTCATCAGTTCTCAATTTGGTATATCTTTTGATGGCACAACTATTTACTCCTGTTTTAATAGTAAGTCTGATCAGTTTGATATGGTCAAATTGACAGCTGATCTAAAAAAATTTTTGTTAACTGGGACAAGGAATGGCTTGTTAATTTTAATGCCTCCAAAATGAAACTGTTATTTTCATCATCAGAGAAAACCCTATTTACCTTCCATCAACATGACTGATGCTAACATCCAGGAAAATGGCTTATTGCACCTTCTCATTAATATTTTCCACTGACATGAAATGGAAAGATTATATTGAATTAATTACAAGGTCTGCTGCTAGGAAAGTTGGTTCACTGTGTTGTGTTAGATTTCAGCAAAATAATTGTCTATCTTGCATATTTATAAGTCTACTATTTGTCCTTGCTTTGAATATTGCTGTCACATCTGGTCTAGTGCTCCTGCTATATACTTAGAGATTGTTGATAAAATCAAAAGAAGAATTTGCAATGTTATTGGTCTTGACCTTTCTCACCACTAATGTAGCTTCTATGTGCCTTTTCTATAAATACTTTCATGCTAATTGTTCTGATGAACTTTCCTCTAGGGAGCATAGACTTTACGAATTTAAATACAGTACAAGATTGACAGCAACACATCATCATTTTAAAGTTGAAATGGCTAGGTTCTATGCTAATAGTTTTTTTTCTTGTTTGTCTTGCTAATTGTGACGAAAGACATGACTTACCTCGAAGTTCAAATGAGTGCAAATGTGTCTTGCCTGCAAAGTAATGAGGAAAAGAAATATGGCCACTATCGAAGACGTAATTTATGCACGCCGATCTCATCCAAAACGAGACGATATTTGCACACATGCAAATTTTGGTCGTATCAGACTGGCATAAAAAGCAAGATGCCAGCATCACGGCCAGAAGATTCGCGTCATTCAGCAGACTTTGTGCAATAGAGTTGGACTTACAAATTGACTGACAGACAAAGAGGAAGTCAAAGTAGGTGTGGCAGAGTTGGTGTCTGTTTCACGACTGCCCGGTGTAACAGCTGAGAAAGGGAGTCTCGCAATCCATTTCCTTGAAGTGACCGATGACGATGACGAAAGAAAGAACAGCTGGTCTGCCCCTCTCTCGTCACTTTCTTCTTTTTGTTTACTACAAGCTATTTCAGCAGTTATGGCGAAGGTTCACATAAGCAGCAACGCCATAAAACCATTTTCCGGCCTGGATGATGTGGTGGCGTGGCTAAAAAAAGGTTAGGCTGGTGGCAAGACTTCAGCAGGTGGACGATGTAGCTAGCCTGCTACCATTGTACATGGAGGAGGATGCACTAGCCCTCTACATGGAAATGGAGTAGGAGGAACAGAGAGATATTGATCAGATCAAAGCCAGGCTGAAGCAGGCGTTTACGGATGACGCATTGTCAGCATATAGAAAGCTGACCATGGTCAGGTGGACCGGCGAATGTGTGGACGTCTACGTGAACAAAATCAGGCAGCTTGTTGGATTGGCCGGATTCAAGGGAGTCGAGATGGAAAGGCTCACCAAACTAGCTTTCGTCATGGGGTTCCCTGATGTGATCTCCCTTGAACTCTGACAGGCACCGAATGTTGAAGCTCTGACTATAGGAGAGTTATTAGCAAGAACGAGAGTGCTAACAGCAACCAAAGATGAAAGTCAGGATGTAGTTGCGACTGTGTGCCCACCCCGTAGTGACGGTGCGTCTCCCACAAAGAGTGGCCCACTCACCAGTGGGACATGCTTCAGGTGCAGCGTCAAAGGCCACATAGCAAAAGACTGCCAGAAGCACAGAACACGCTGCTATTGATGTGGGGAGGTTGGACACTGGGCCCGAGACTGTTCAGGAAATGCTACAGGGGACAAGGCATCAGCGCCAGCCTTTTCCTCAATCAAGATGTAAATACAGCGCTCCCGGTGGCAAACATCCTTGTCGACGGAACTTGGTATTCAGCTCTGATTGATACTGGCTGTTCACGGACGATTGTGGATGCAGATCGGTGCCGGTCTTGGAAGAGAATGACAGTGGATGTCATGACTATTGGAGGCATGTCCCGTCCATGTTGCGGTGTAGGAGTGGTAACTGTATCCACGGAGGAAGACGGTTCTGCCAAGATCAATGTGTTGGTGGTGCTAATTCCCCGGATGGCCGTACTACAGCAGAACAAGTCTAAAGTACGTCCTGTAATGGACTTCTGGGTGCTCAATCATCATGTTGATGCTTTCACAGCTGATGCAGACGTATGTGCAGCTAAACTGTGTGAATGGCGGCAGAAGGGATCCAACATGTCCTTGTTGGATCTCAGGAGAGCATACTTCCAAATATGTGTCAACGAGTTACTCCGGCCATACCAGACTGTGAAAATTGATGGGAAAAGATATTGCCTGACATGTTTAGGATTTGGATTAAATGTGGTTCCCCTCGTCATGAAGGCAATTATTAGCACGGTGCTAGCTCAGGAAGAAACTTTGGGTCGCACGGCATATGCCCACATTGACAACATCTATATAACAGTTGGAGGATGGCGCGCAGGTACTAGGATTGGCGGCCACGATGGAACTAGGTAGATTGCGGTGGAGATGAGGAAGCGTGGTCCCTAACGCCCCCAGTGCCTTACGTGATGGAAGATGTTCTCTCTGTGTGGAAGGCTTGTTGGGCACCTCCCAGTGTGTGGTTGGCTCCGTGTGGCATGTGGAATGCTCAAGAGGAGAGCAAGTTCAGTTACGAAGGGCTGGGACGACAAAACAAAGGATGCCCTCCTCCAGCACATAGTGTCTGAGACCGTGGATTCTGTGCAGCAGGACGGTCCAGCCCATGGGGAGTGGTATGTGGATGGCTGGGAGCTGAACGTGTGGGTTAATGCAAGTTCCCTGGGGACCAGAGTGGTGTTGGAGAGCCACGAAACAGTGCTGGAGGATGCTTGCTGGCTGTGACCTAAAGATGACGCTCAACACATCAACCTGGCCGAGCTGGATGCCGTGTTGAAAGGCGTCAATTTAGCGCTCCAGTGGCAGAGCAAGACGCTACACATAAAAACGGATTCTGTTTGTGTGTACCACTGGGTATCGGATACTCTGACTGGGAGAGCACAAGTGCACACCAAGGCAGCAAACAAAATGCTCATCAGGAAGTGGCTGAACACTCTCAAGGAGCTTGTAGAAGAGTATCAGCTGACCGTGGACGTGACACTGGTTCCATCGGCTCAGAACATAGCTGATCGGCTGACAAGGGTACCGCAGCGATGGTCTGATGCAATGAAGAGAAGCAATGGACCTGGGCCACTGATTGGCGCCACCCATGTGGACGAACTGGATGCAGACCAAATCATGTCCATCCATCCATCCACAGGAACAGCGGTGCACTACCTACTTCGCCAGGAGAGTCTGCCCGTCAACGATGAAAGCATCCGTTAGATCAGCTATACGGACATGTGAAGAATGTCAGTCTATAGACCTTGCATCAACTCACTGGCAAAAAGGAAAGCTTGAGGTAAGCAGAGACTGGGGATGGATATCACCCACTAAGGTGCCCATCATTTCTTAACGCTGACTGACTGCAGCCCATCGTGCTTTTCAATTTGGAAGCAGTTGGCAAGACAGGACTCTGCGGCCATGATTCGCCAGCTGAAAGCAGTGTTTCTCGAGTGGGGCCCACCCCACGAGCTACTCACAGACAATGACCCAGCTTTCTGCAGCAGGGAATTCAGAGCCTTTGCATGCGAGTGGGGAGTCAACTTGCGGTTCCATTGTGCATATGCGCCAGCTGGGAATGGTATAGCAGAGCGATGCCACCACAAAATAAAACAAATTGCAGCCAGGACGCGCTGTTCCATTCAGGAAGCCGTCTACTGGTACAATGTCACACCAAAAGACAGTGCATCACCCCAGACTGCGCCTGCCAATAGGATCCACCAATACAAACTGAGGGTGAAAGATCGGAGATCGCATATGGGTCAAGGCACCAATAAGTCGGTGCACCAACAAGTTCAACGGGTCAGGTGAGGAAAAGGATGGACAGAATACCCCGCCACGTTAAGGATCTACGCCTGCGCCACAGTTTCAGCACGTCTGAGGAAGATTCTGATGACACATCTGAGAGCAGGGTGAAAAGTTTGCTGCTTGACGAGGAAAGTGCAGAGTGCATCAATCCACATGTAAGAGGGAGTAGAGGCAGAGCATGACATGACTTACCTCGAAGTCCAAAACAAGTGCGAACAAGTCTTGTCTGCAAAGTAATGAGGAAAAGAAATATGGCCACTATCAAAGACGCAATTTATGCATGCCGATCTCGTCCAAAACGAGACGATATTTGCACACATGCAAATTTTGGTTGTATCAGACTGGCATAAAAAGCGAGATGCCAGCAGCATGACCAGAAGGTTTGAGTCATTCGGCGGACTTCGTACAATAGAGTTGGACGTACGAATTGACTGACGGACAAAGTAGGTATGGCTGAGTTGATGTCTGTTTCATGACTGCCCCGTGTAACGCCCGAGAAAAGGAGTCTTGCAATCCATTTCCTTGAGGCAACCGACGACGAAGGAAGAACATCTGGTCTGTCAGCGAACGGCGCACTGCACATTCTGATCCCCCTCTCGTCACTTTCTTCTTTTTGTTTACTACACTAATGGAACTCTTCCAGTTTTTTGATTTCTAGCCAACTTTGCATTTAAAATTTTGAAGATCAATATACATCCTTCTATTCTTTCTTAATTCTTGTTCTTTTATTCTCTCTCTTTAATAGTGTTTTTTTTTTTCCCCCTCTAACTCTCAGTAACCCCTTTCTTGGAGTGAAATGATTTATTTATTTATATATATATATATATATATATATATATAAAGAGAGAGAGAAGAGGTTATAGTTGTTCCGAGAGATAAGAATATATTTTAAAAAGAGAGAAACTGCAAACGTTTTTGTGGGTTTTTTCTTTTTAATATATATATATATATATATACACACACACACTAATAGTAATACACGCTTGATAAAAAAACCTCAGATAGCTCAACTTGTAGATAAGTCAAAACAAATTGGTAGCCAAGGAAAAAACTGGAAATAAAAAAAGAACTAAAAACATCTGAACAGGTCAAAATAAATCAACCAGTGTCTTTAGTCCAAAGAAAACAAACCCCAAGCGAGTAGAAAGACTAAAACGTAGATCCGTTTAGGTGAAACCTAGGTAGGTTTTCCTGGCTCTTTAGGATATATATATATATATATATATATATATATATATATATATATATATATATATATATATATAAGGATGATAACTTTTCAGCAACTCGTCATACATCACATTTAGAATATTGTGTTAAAATTCAACTTTTGTTGTGCATATCTTAGTGAAACTCTAAATGTTGTAATATAATGTAATTTGGAAAGAGTTATCTTTCCTTGCAAATAAAAATTTAAAAAAAAAAAAAAAAAAACTTCCACACATTGAAAGTCTAAATTCCCACTTGCAGATTACTTAAGATCTTTTCATGAGTCTAGTCTTCTTCTTTATGACTTTGGTAAAAAGCTTTCTGTCTTAGCCATTATCAGTTACTCCCACTTTTCAATAATTCAGCACTTTTTTGTCTTTAAAGACTTTTGATAAATGTCACTGGTTAATTTTGTTTCCTCAGTCTCTCACTGGTCTGTCACTGACATCTAGTCTTGTTTGTCTAAATAAACTGAAAGCCTCCTAATTAATGATTACATTTCTTCTAGATACCTTTTGTACAATGAAAGCCTTGGCCTTAATATTTACTTGTACAGACTTGTTTGAATAGCCAAAATTATACATAGTTTTCAAATTGGGTTATGAGAGTCAATAAAATATTTTATCTTAAACTTATTGGATCTTGCTTGTAAAATTCAGATTTGCAATGTCAGTTATGTGCCATGCGTGATACACACTTAGGCAATCATGTATCTTTCGATACATGACTGATGAGGCAAATTTTTTTCCCACAGTAGGTTGCCATTTCTTTCTGCAGTAGACCAGTTGCCATCCAAGGCTATAGAACCCAGTCTGTCCTGCTATTTACCAATAGCTGGGAGGGAGGAGAGGATTCATACCTTTCCCAAGGATATTAGCAAGTGAATGTAATGGCTTCAATGGGAATTCAAACTCGGCTCTCTAATTCCTCAATCTGAGCCGCTATCCATTACTCCACAGTCCCTCCCTATTTTCAATAGCTACCTCAATAATGTTATATTTCATTTTTGAGATAAATTATTCAGTATATTTTGAACTGCTTTCTGTTTGGCTGATATGGGATATATGTTGCTTATGTTATTTATGGACACCTGATGATGGCAAGAGGGTGCTTGGCCGAAACATTGTGTCTGTGTATAATAATGAAGATGAGAACAATAACTTGAAAATTACCTCAAGCAACTTTTCCCTTCATTTTTTTCTTAGCAACTTTTTTCGTCTTCATTTTCTTCTTAGCAACTTTTTTCGTCTTCATTTTCTTAGCAACTTTTTTTTTCATTTTGTTGGCAACAAAATGAATGAAAAAATTTCATTCATTTTGTTGGCGACTATTTTCATTTTGTTGGCAACTATTTTTTCATTCATTTTCAAGTTGAATATTTTGTCTATTCATATATATTTTAATTATTAGAAAATTATAAATAAAATTTTAATTATTAGGTAGAAGTTGCTGGTGCCATGTTTGATATCATCAGTGTTTTATGCTGGGTCCAATTAAGAAGAGACATCTTATAGGTTATATGGTATCACTATGAAGGAAGAATCCATAAATCTAACTGGATTCTTTTATCAGTTATTGTGGCATATCAGTGATGAGGCTTTT